ATTTCAGAGAGGAAGGGAGAGGGCGAGAGATATAAAAAACATCAATGATGAGAGAGAAACATTGATCAGCTGCCTCCTGCACTCACCCTGACCAGTAATGGAACCTGTCACCCCTGGTGTACCAGGTGATGCTCCAACCAACTGAGCCACACTGGCCAGGGTGGGAGGCAGTGTTTCAAAAACCAATTAGGTATAAAAATTATTCAGGCTTCTTAAAATCTAACTTAGGCTTTCTGTTTGGTATTTTCAAAATGAGCTCAAGTAAAAGTGAGCAAAGTAAAGGACATGATAGAACAACTATAACTGCACTGCTTTATCTTCAAAAAATTATAAGAGTTTTTAAGTTACCTCTGGGTTGTTTCTTCATCTTGATATGTGTCCTTTTAAACCTTAAAGAGATGTCATGGTATACTGGAGGATGAAAACACAAAGATGAACAAGGTTAGGTATGAGCTTTAATGCCCTCGCAAATATTACATGGCAACTGAAACAACCATCAGCAGCCAGCACACAGTGGCCAAGGATAAGTGACAAAGTCTGATTACCCATCACAACCCTCTCAGGAGAGAAAGTTTGCTTCTACATTCTACATGTTGATTGTAAGAACGTAGCAACAAGCATAGAAAAACAAAGTTACCACAGAGATATATTGCCACACAATGAGCCAACACAGCCTTGCAAATTTTAAAAGAAAAGATTAATACTCACTTGTATGGTCTTCATATCGTTCTATATAATGCAAATAGTGAACTGCTCTGTTCTTTGCCTGAAAGATGAAAAATATTTTTCTTAATCTACTGTTGGAATGTACTTTTTCTCAGAGATTCCAAAATATCTTTTGCCCTGGTTGGTGTTGCACAGTGTTTGGAGGATCAGCCCTCTCACCGAAGGGTCTGAGGTTTGTTTCCCGGTCAAAGACTGGGTTGCAGGCTGGTCCAGGCCCTGGTCAGGGTGCATGCAGGAGGCAACCAATCGATGTATCTTATTCACATAGATACTTCTCTCTCCTCTCGCCCTCCTCCCATTCCTCCCTTCCACTCTGTCTAAAAATCAATAGAAAAAATATCCTCTGCTAAGGATTAACAAAAAACCTCTCATAAAATATTTTACTATGGAAAATTTCAAACTTACACAACAATTTCAGTATATATTTCTAAAAGCTAAAAATTTAATAAAAAAAGAAACTTAACCATAATATCACTATCACAACCTCAAAAAATTAACAATAATTCCTTAGTGTCCTTGGAGATTCTGTCAGTGTGAGACACTTTCCCAGCTGTCTCGCAATTTTGGTAACAACCACAAGTCTGATGAAAATGATGTGAAAGAACATGGGTATTTCCGAAACTGCTCTTTGTGAGATGTGGGAACTTGGACAAGAAGTCTCAGCAGAGGGTTATTTTAGTTTATTTTTGTGTGTAGTTTCCATCATGTCTAGCACATAGCCTACTGATCTCTTACTGTCAATGAAGGAAAAAAGTACTTACTTTTCTGAAAGCGTCCGCCCGATCAGTGGCTTTTCCAATGGCAAAACCTTTAAAAGAAAAAGCCAAAATATGAAAAAAGGCATATGTTTGGCACATCTTTGACCACATTCTATGTTTCGGCTCCTACAATATTTCATAGCACTTTATTTCTCCTCTGTCCACAGCAAACCTGCTATGCTAAATGAATGACGAAGCAGGAGGCTAGAAATTTGCTTCTCTGTTCTGGGACTTTGGGAAACAGTACACTTTGGGGATATAAAATCCATAATATTAGCTTTTATTAATCTCTGCATAAAACTAAATAAACTCAATAAAACTAAACATGGTTTTGAATATTTTTGAAAATACATTACAATAACCAGAAAGGCTGGGAAAACATACATTGCTATAGAGTAAAACCATGATTTCACTGGAACTTTCAAATGCAATTCAGATTTCAAAGAACTAGGAGATAAAAATCAATGATTCTTGAGTTTGTGAGTACTTAACCCCATGAAGTGAGGTTTATCACAAGTTACCATAAATGCCTCCACTGTCTGCTGTCACCATTAATTATGTAAAGTAACATAATAGTGTCAATAAGAGACACAAGACATCTGAAAACCTGGGACAAATGGATTCCAATTCCTAATTTAAATAAACTTAAATCATACAAGTCCTAGAGGAAAATATGAATGTATTTATAACCTTTAAATGAAGGTTTTCTAAGAACAAAACCAGAAATCCAGACACAAAATCAGAAGTAATAAAAGACTGATAAATTTACTACATAAAGGTTTAAAACTTCTGTTGTTTAAAATTTACATGTGGAAAAAATAAAAAACTAAGTCAAAATATGTGATAAACAAAGGGCCAACGTCCTTAACTCACAAAGAACTATATCCTCAATGAGAAGAACAACCACACAACAGAAAAATGGGCAAAGCAAATGAACTGACAGACCTCAAAGAAGAAATAATGGCCAATAAACATGCAAAATGATGTCCAAGCTCTCATAGTGAAAGAAATGGAAATGAAAACAAAGAGATAGGTTTCACTATGATACTGACAATCAGTAACATTTGATTATATTCAGGGCTGGCAAGAGTGTGAGGGTACAGATGAACATAAATCCATGTAACCTTTTGGGGGGGTTCTGGCAATACTTATCAACATTCAAAATGCATACACTTTTGAGGCAGCAATTCCCCCTATTGACATTCGTACCAAAGTACAACAAATTACATGTACAAGAAACACTAAGGATGTTTAAAAAATACTACAAAATTGGGCTCAACATGAATATTCAACAAAGGGAAAAGGTAACAAAAATTATATTTACCCACACAATGGAACACTATGGAATCAGTACAAAGAATGAGGGGGAATCTTTTTATGCTAATACAGGAAGATCTCTGGATAATGCTGAGAAAAGTTAGATATATAATTATCAACATATTATGATCCCTTTGTGTAAATTTAAAAAAAGATATATGAATAAAGAATCTCTGGGAAAGATATAAAAATAACTGTTAAGACTGGTTTCCTTTGGCAAATGTCCTATATAATAAAAGGGCAATATGCAAATTGACCCTAAGGGTGGAAAGACCAGTCGCTATGACGTGCGCTGACCACCAGATGCTCAACATAGGAGCTAGCCCGTGGTGGTCAGTGCACTTCCACAGGGGGAGTGCCACTCAGCCAGAAGCCAGCTCATGGCTGGCCAGGGCAGCAGCAGTGGCGGGAGCCTCACCCGCCTCTGCGGCAGCACTAAAGATGTCCGACTAATGGCTTAGACTAACGGCTTAGGCCCTTAGTTGGACATCCCCCAATGGCTCCCACGCTACCAGAGGGATGTCTGACTGCCATCAGTTGGACATACCCCAAGGGGTCAAGTTTCCACAATTTCTTAGTGACCTAAGAATATTATAATATATGGCTGTATTCTTTTTGTAACTATGTCCCTACTATTGAGCATGTAATATAATGGTTTCTTTCCCCTCATTTTTCACTATTATACATAACACAATAGTGTTTCTAAAATACCCATTGGTGCCCTGGCCCATGTGGCTCAGTTGGTTGAGCGATCCCATGAACCAAAGGTCACTGGCTTGATTCCTGGTCAGGGCACATGCCTGGGTTGTGGGCTCAAGCCCACAAAGGAGGCATACAGGAGGCAACTAATCTGTCTTTCTTTCTCTCTCAAACTCTCTCTCTCCTCCCCTATCTCTTTCTCTCTCTCTAAAAATCTGAATCAATGAAAACATATTTTAAAAAAAATACCCATTGGTCCTCACAGGAAAAGGCAGATGTGGGAAGATCTATTCTTTCTTTTCCCTCTAAGGGATTTCATGGGTGACCAGAAGATTTGTGAACCCAAACCCCAAAAGATTTCATTTATCAGTAGAAAAAGTCTGGTCAGCAGCATGAACCCATGGACTCAGGCTGAATAAAGGCCACACCTATCCCCGCCACCACCAGCACCCCTAACGTCACTGCACCTCATTCACCTGCGGCTCCTCTGCCATTCCCCACGGCGACCAGCACACGGACCGATTTCTTTCTTCCCTCTTTTGCTGTCATATTGAAAACATTTCTTACCTAAAAGACAAAATGTTTCATAAACATTTTACCTTAAGAAAACTCTGAAGTGGGAACTGGAGCAGCCACCTTACATGTGCAGCACGCATGCACGCACGTGCACACGCGCACACACACACACACACACCCATGAACAGACACGTCATCCTCAAGTTCATGAGCACAAACAGCAAACTTCCTTCACAGGAAGCCTCTCCCTAGATTGTTTCTTCAGGAATAAAGTGGAAATAAGAATCTCTCCTCCTATTTCTCAGGGCTGTTAGCAGTTCTTTTTAATGTACTTTTATTGATTTCAGAGAGGAAGGGAGAGAGAGATAGAAACATCAATGGTGAGAGAGAATCACTGATCAGCTGCCTTCAGCTTACCTCCTACTGGGGATCAAGCCCACAACCCAGGCATGTGTCCTTGGCCAGAATCGAACCTGGGACCCTCCAGTCCACAGGCCAATACTCTGTCCACTGAGCCAAACCAGCTAGAGCTTGTTAGCAGTTCTGAGGTAACTTAAAGAGATTTGAAACTACACAACACAATGCACCCCATTTTAACAAACGTATGCAAAGGAAAAAAGGTGCTGATTAAACTCTGTCATGGTTTACAACTGGTGGCTATAAAACACATCCCAATATCAGAGATGTTGAAATATGAAAGAATGTGCATTTAGAAATAAAATGCAGTATATAGAAAAAAATTGCATACAATCGGATCTCTGTGTTGAGGATTAGGCTCACCTGAAAATAGAGAATTTGGAAATACCTGCACATTATGAATTACAGGAAAACTTGCATTTTTGTGTGTGTATGATGCATATAAAAGTCCAGGAACTGCCCTAACCGGTTTTGCTCAGTGGATAGAGCGTCAGCTTGCAGACTCAAGGGTCCCAGGTTCGATTCCAGTCAAGGGCATGTACCCTGGTTGTGGGCACATCCCCAGTGGGGAGTGTGCAGGAGGCAGCTGATCGAAGTTTCTCTCTCATCGATGTTTCTAACTCTCTATCCCTCTCCCTTCCTCTCTGTAAAAAATCAATAAAATGTATTAAAAAAAAAAAAGTCCAGGAACCATGAAACTGTTAACTCAACAGCTTACATAGAAGCCGCTTTCCCATAAAATGAGGTTAAAGGAAAAGGGAGCTGAGTCCACTGCTGTGGATCATCTTACAGTAAAAAAAACCCACATATACAAATATTCTTCAAAGGAATTAACTTCCAATAAGTATATACTGGGACCCAAAGACATAAAATACTTGTAAATATACTTTAAGTTCTATAGACAACTGATATTGAAGAAATACTAGAAAAGATTCAGTCACAAACTCAATAAATGATCATTCCACATGCAGGTAACACGAACAAGGCTGCAGCACCAGCTCGAAGGGCAGATGACGACCTGAGGGACTGCCCTGGGAAGTGACTGAGCTTCACCTCAAGCAGGCTTGTTTTGAAGGCCTGCAGGGTGATTTCCCATCAAGAGCTGGACATCACAGCACCCCCATGCTTCCCAGCCCTGACCCATGGCTCCTGCAGTCCCTGCTCCCTGAACTAAAGCCAGATTCAGCTAGTTCATAATTCAAGGACAGGTCACTAATGCTACCTTAGCTTTAGGAAGGAGGAAATCTCAACGTAATTTCCAAATTCTGTTATCAACACCACCAAAGCTGCCTTGTCATGAGACCTCAATTGATAGTGCCCCGCAAAGGGCAATAGTCAGGAGAACCTGTATCAAAAGATTGAAACTCAAGTTTCATTATTTTCTTACCCAAATCAGCTCTGTGTCTTAGAGAACATCACCCATCAAGGCTTTTCCTCACAGTCCTCGTGCCCTATCCCTACTCCACCAGCCCAAACTTTCCCAACTTCTCGAAAGACCTAACTGGGTACTGGGTTCAGCGTGCCTACCTCAAGTATCCTGGTATCAAAATCATCATATGTTTCTGTAGAAAGAAAAGAAACAGTCATACAGATACGTGTCAATACAATTAGTGTACAAAAGCATTTTCAATACAGGCATAATTACCGACATTTATGTGAGAAAGAAAGTGAATTTTTGGTGCCATTTCTCAGGCCATGCCCTGGGCCTCCACCAACACCAGACCATTCCACCTTTAAATTCATACACTGGGCCACCACCTCCCTGACTGCACCCCTCCAGCTCTTATTCAATGTCTACCCAGGCGATGGTTCTTGGCGCTCCCCAGCACCTCCAGACTCCTGACCACTGTTTTCTTTCCCTCTTATCCCTTCCAGTCTTCATAGCCTCTCCCACACAGCCAACACACCACAGCCCATCATTTCCACCAGAGCGTGTGGATATCCTCGACTCCCTCACCTTTTTCTCTCCTCCATATTGTCTATGCCTGAATCAATGAAGCTGTCTGGCCACACCTGGCCTGCTGGGTGCCACAGAAGTCAAAGCACAGTACACACTTGGACCCCTAAACATTCATGGTCTCTAATTCAATCAAGAGCTCCCTTGTGTGGCTGAGACGGTCCCTGTGAGGCTGAGACGGCCCCTGCGAGGCTGAGACGGTCTCTGTGAGACTGCGACAGCCCCTGTGAGGCTGAGACGTTCCCTGTGAGGCTGAGATGGTCCCTGTGAGGCTGAGACGGCCCCTGTGAGGCTGCGATGGTCCCTGTGTGGCCGAACACAGGGACACGTCGCAGATGGAAATAGTTACATTTTCCATGTGTATGACCCGGCAACAAAAAGTGTACACCTATGGATGAGGGCAGTGGGGGGGTAAAGGCAGAGGGTGGGAACTGGTTGAGGGGAGCTATGGGGGGGAAAGGGGGGAACAACTGTAATAATCTGAACAATAAAGATTTATTTAAAATAAAAAGAGCTCCCTGCGACCTGTCAGCCTCTTATGTCCTTTTAGTTAGACCCCTCTCCACTCACCTCATAGCCACTTCAAACACTCTATGTGCCTTTAACTTTTTACTACAGAAAATTTTAATCAAATACAAAAACAGAATAGCCAAGTGACAGCTTATGTACTCATTAGCCAGCTTCAACAATTATCAACTCATGGTCAGTCCTCTTTTCTCTACACTGTTCAATTCCCACTCTGGATAATCTGAAAGAAAGTCCCAGGTACCCTAGTTTTCATCAAAATATTCTGGTGGCCAGTCCTAGCCGGTCTGGCTCAGTGTATAGAGCATTGGCCTGTGGATTGAAGGGTCCCAGGTTCAATTCCAGTCAAGGGCACATGCCCGGATTGCGGGCTTGAGCCCCAGTAGGGGCTGTGCAGGAGGCAGTTGGTCAATGATTCTCTCTCATCATTGATGTTTCTATCTCTCCCTCTCCCTTCCTCTCTGAAATCAATAAAAATATTTATTTAAAAAAAAGAAAAAATATTCTGGTAGCCATGCTCATTGTTGCCCCATCCTCCCTTCAGCAGATGGCCCCCTCCTCCTCCCAGGCCAGCTGAAGCCACCGGACAGACATCTCTCACACATCCTGCCCCACTACCAATACTACAGGCTCACCAGAATCTGTCACTTATCTCTACTCTGAATCTGGGTCCCCATTAGGGACATGATCTTTTTTCTCCTCCTCCCAACTGAAGCCTTCTGTTCAGCTCTAAGCACACTTGCCAGCCTCTGCTCTTCTCTTTAAGCCAAACTTAAGAAAGCAGCCACACTCTTGTCTATTCTTCATCTCCTCCTCAAGAATGGATTTTCGAGATTTTTCTCTACATACATGGGTGTTAGGGGGTGCAGAGGACTTTGGTTTCTAATTTGGCCTAGTAAGTATTTTGAATTTTTCTTTCATTTTTCTGTTTATGAGGCTTAATGACAACGATCTGGTTTATCCTGTTATGGAAATTCCCACACCATGCTGCTCCACAGGCACCCAACCAGTTGTGTTGGGAAACGGTTGTGCAGATCCGTAACGCACACCACCACATGGAAGGCTCTGAGAAGCCACACAATAGCAGTGCCAGAACCCGGTGCTCTGCATCCTATGTGTGGAATGCTTTTGGTTATGGGCCTCTAATGTTCCATAAAACACAGCTGGATAATAATGTAAAGTTATTTCAATGATGTTCAAATCCTTTTTTTTTGCAAAAAAGCCATCTAAACAGGTAAATACATAAATTCATATTAAGGAACTCCAGAACTACAAGCAATCTCTCTGCCACAAAGGTAAGCAAAATCAGGACTCTGCTACCTCCATTGGGACCAGGGTCGGGGGGGCCAAGACTGACACCTCCCCACGTGTTTCCACTCCAGCCTCGCTCCCGCTTAACCTTCATCTTCCTCTTCCGGTCCCATTCTTCTCTCTGCTGGAACATGTCAGCTTCCACCTTCTCCTGCTCTTCCTTGCTTCTCTGGGCAATGGTCTGCACAGCTCCATCCCTCATAAGAGGGACATTCAGACCAGGCCATAGGAAGCCACTGCGCCCTGAAAGTTTAAAAACATACATGAATAAGAATTTTTTTAAAAAAAAATATATTTTATTGATTTTTTACAGAGAGGAAGGGAGAGGGATAGAGAGTTAGAAACATCGATGAGAGAGAAACATCGATCAGCTGCCTCCTGCAAACTCCCTACTGGGGATATGCCCGCAACCAAGATACATGCCCTTGACCAGAATTGAACCTGGGACCCTTGAGTCCGCAGGCCGACGCTCTATCCACTGAGCCAAACCGGTTAGGGCTAAGAATTTCTTTAAAGCATTCATTTGAGTGTTAAAATGCCAGGCAATGGTGTACAGATGACACTGCTGGTAGGAGTTTAAACTAACATAATCACTTGGCAGGCCACTTGGCACATCCATTAAAATTTTCAGCTAATAATAATTCCAATTCATGGGATTAGCCCAGAGAAATACTCCCACACAGGTAGGAGGCATATGTGTGCCAGGACAAGGAGGTGCACTGAGAGTTATTTGTAAAGGCAAAAAATGGAAACAATGTGTTACATGTCCAGCACTACTGGAGGGTTGAGTGAACCATGGCACAGCCAACATATGAAATCTTCCACCCCAAACTGAAATAATGAGATAGTTCTGTGGGTTCTGAGGTGGAACAATTTCCCAAGATCTGAGTAAAAAACAAAAGTAAATTTTAAGACAGTATGTAGCACATGATATAGTTTAATTATTTTTTAAAAGAAAAGAACATCTATTTCTTTTAGGGTTTTTATGTATATATTAGAGGCCCGATACAAGAAATTTGTGCAAGAGTAGACCTTCCTTCCCCCGGCTGCCAGCACCAGCTTCCCTCCGGCACTTGAGCCCCAGGCTTCCCTCCAGCCACCAGCAGGCATCCGGACCCGGGCTTCCCTGGCAGCCCTGGCTTCGTCCGGAAGGACATCCGGTCTAATTAGCATATTACACTTTTATTATTATAGATGAGCATTACAAAATGCCAGAAGGAAACACACCAAAATAAGATCAGATATTTCCAAGTACACCATTTTATTTTTATTCTTCAAGGCAACTGAGAAGGGTATCGAAAGGGCACCAGGACTTAGATTTCTCCTACAGTCTAAAGTTTTTACTGAGAAATATATATATGTGATGGCTATAATTTTTTTAAGTGTTAACAAAAAAATAAAATACAGCCCTATCCAGTTGGCTCAATGGATAGAGCATCAGCCTGCAGACTGAAGGGTCCTGGGTTCGATTCTGATCAAGGGCACATTGTCAGGTTTCAGGCTCGATCCCAATAGGGGATGTGCAGGAGGCAGCTGATCAATGATTCTCTCTCATCATTGATGCTTGTAACTCTTTCTCTTCCCTCTTCCTTCCTCTCTGAAATCAAAAATATTTTTAAATTAAAAAATAAATAAGTAAAATACAAGGTAAGGCAGAGAAAGATATGCAGTAACTAGAACAGTGAATGTATTTATTTCATGCCTGAAAGGCTATTATTATCCTCTATAATGAAAGGGTAATATGCAAATTGACCCTAAGGGTGGAATGACCAGGAACAACCAGTCGCTATGATGCACACTGACCACCAGGAGGCAGATGCTCAATGCAAGAGCTGCCCCATGGTGGTCAGTGCGCTTCCACAGGGGGAGCGTTGCTTAGCCAGAAGCCAGCTCATGGCTGGCCAGCGCAGGGGCATGGCAGGAGCCTCTCCCATCTCCGTGGCAGCACTAAGGACGTCCGACTAATGGCTTAGGCCCACTCCCTGCAGGAAAGTGGGCCTAAACCATTAGTTAGATATCCCCTGAGGGCTCCTGGACTGCCAGAGGGATGTTTGACTGCCAGCTTAGGCCTGATTTCCTGGGGAGCGGGCCTAAGCCGTCAGTCAGACAACCCCTGAGGGGTCCCAGACTGTGAGAGGGCGCAGGCCAGGCTGAAGGACCCCCCACACACACACCTCGAGTGCACGATTTTTTGTGCACCAGGCCTCCAGTCAACAATAATTTATCAGCAACCACAACGAAATGCCAATTCAAGTACACCATACTATTTTTATTCTTCAAAAAAACACAAGAATAAACAATCATGTGTTCCCAGGGTTGGTAAACCTAAGGGCCACAGGCCAAATCCAGCCCACCACTTGTCTCTATAAATAAAGTTTTACTGGAACAAGTTATGCTAATTTGATTATGTATTGTCAATGACTATTTTGTGTCCCTGGTTGTAACAGAGACCATGCAGCTCACAAAGCTGAAACTATTTACTATCTAGCCCAGGGGTGGGCAAACTTTTTGACTCGAGGGCTACAATGGGTTCTTAAACTGGACCGGAGGGCCGGAACAAAAGCATGGAAGGAGTGTTTGTGTGAACTAATATAAATTCAAAGTAAACATCACTACATAAAAGGATACGGTCTTTTTTTTCAATAGTTTTATTCATTTCAAATGGGCCGGATCCGGCCTGCGGGCCGTAGTTTGCCCACGGCTGTGATAGACCAACATTTTTGTTATTTAGGCTTT